AGAAACAGATTACTCCAAGTTTGTTAGTTCTTACATTTAAAGCTGGTTCACATCTTTCAACAAATTAATATCTTTGTCAAACTGTTAAGGGAATAACAAGTACCTCTCTCTGGAAATAGAGCTCAAGATAGCCTGTCCAGTGCTCCTCTTTAATGCAGAGGGATATCACAGCAATTTCAGGCCCACCCTTCATGGTGCCTTTGTAGACCAAACTGTCTGGAGAGGAACCAATAATGTTACTGAAGTCTTCACAAGCTACTTCAAGCTCTTGTCTGCTAAATTTAGTCACATCTTTCAACAACTCAGAATCTGCACAAAATCGCAACGTTAACCGATATTACTTCTAATAATACACTACCAAAGTTAATTTGAGGAGAAGTTAATGCCATATGTAGCAACGTAACCTATGTCTATTGCCACATGTTCCTTCTCGCTTCCTGATTTCTTCCAAGGGATTATGATTGAAGACTTGCTATTGTAACTTTGGAAAGCAGTAAGGAGGGCTACAAGAAAGAGAGATCCTGCCAAGACTCCCGTCACTACTTCAAGAGCTAAATGCCAGGCAGGTTTTGATGCTTTCTGATGCTTTGCAACGTCTTCAGCAGGCTGATGCTTAGGGCTGGGTGCTTGGTGACTTTTGGATGGCACAGCACCTAAAAAAGGATTATTGTCACTCTCAACTGTGTAACCATCAATATTGAATTATTTTAATGGTCTTATCAGCTAGCGTTGTAAGTGTAATAAGAAAATACATTGATGACATTTCAAGTTACGTACGCAACCTCAAGATACATTAAATTCAACTATGGAGGAACAGGTGCTTAAATTTTGGTCCAATAATTAGATTAGAACCAAATGAAGCATGTACACTTCAAGACGCCATCACAATAGTCAGTTGGACTTAGCCAAGAACAGATATTTTTGTTCAAGTATTTGTCCAAGCCACGGCCAAAGGGAAGATTATGTAATACATACCACATTGTGTGTTGGGGCGCTGTTTAGTATCTTTGTCCTGAAGGCAGTTCCCTTGAAAGCTTGTGCTGCATTAATAATATGGGAAAACATGAGCCAACTGGATAAAAACAAGCCAGTATGGATATATGACACAGTCAAAGAAAGTTTACCTGCGAAGATATTCCAAACACTTAGGTATGCTTCCAACCAAAAAATTGTAGGAGAAATCTACCACTTTTAACTGAGATAAATGACAAAGTCCAGTTAAGTTTGAACGTGAGGCATACCTGAAGTGAGAAGAATTATTAGAGATCAACTTTAAAATACTAACATGATTTAACTTCGGCGGCTAAGTTTCTAGAGAAGAAGCCTGCAATATTTCCAACTTCTATGATCCCATACCAAGATATTTTACTTCCAACTAAAATAACAGCTTTATGGGTTAAAAAAGGTAATTCATCCTATGCAAGTAGGTATAGTTAAAAGTTTGCCTTATCCAATAGTAAAATTCTAGATGGCACATAGCATCCAATTATTATGGTTATTCATCCTCTGCATGTCAATCTCATGCATTACACAGAAAAAGGAAAAAGCATAACCTAATATAATGCTAGTCTAGGTAGCAACAGCTAGCAGCTTGTTTGTTAACAATCCCCTTTCAATCATTATCATCATATCCAAGACAGCATCCAAACTAAATTTGCTATGAGATGATGGATTAAAACTGACAAATATGGCACTGTTTTCTACCAGCATTGTATGAGTAGAAACTAGAAGCGTTCATTAAGGTATACAGGGCATATTTCCTAATGAACAGTTCATTAAATAGACTTGTTCTCAGAGCTTAATAGAATCCATTGTCACAATATTCTACTTACATTCCATGTATCTTAGCTGTAAATGCTGAATTACTATCAGCAGGAACGGTTCCTTGAAGTTTATTTCTATCAAGGCGAAGTTCCCGAAGATACTTTAAATTGCCAAGTTCACCAGGCAGGTTCCCTGTCAACCCATTTGACTGAAGGTGTCTGTGATGACAAAAGAAAACAAAATAAGAAAAAAAGGCATAAATAACCAAAACAAATTCACTTCCTTAAAACAGGACACAAAGTTTGGGTTACATCTTCATCAAACTGGATAAATTCCCTAGCTCTGGAGGAATAGGACCCGTCAGTTGATTCATCCCCAAATCCAAGACTTCAAGGAACTTCAACATGCCCAATTCTTTAGGAATTATTCCTATCAGATTGTTCTCGCGTAAAGTTCTACAAAACACATGAAACTATCCGTCAACCATTAAACTCCTAGAAGGATTAAAGTTGAACCAAGAGCATCATTTTGCACACTTAAGAATAGGAAACATACAGCTCCTGCAAGTAGGTAATTTGGCCCATTTCAGGTACAAGAAATCCCTTCAAAGATGAACCCGATATGTTTCTGCAACACATGGAGAGACATGCTACTCTGAAAATGCATTAATTGTACAGATATCTACCATTTTAATGGACTGAAAACTGATTAAAGAACTTTGAAAAGTTGTTGGATCATGCGTACATCTTTATAACATGTTGTCTCTCCTGATTACAAGTAATCCCAGACTACTCACACGGATCAGCATCTAAAGCATTCCAGTTTGACAAAACCAGGTGTGGGTCTTCATATAAAGTTTCCTTAAATGTCGTAGAGCCCCAACTTTACAAAACCAGAGTTCACAACTCAGTGAGAAGTATTGAAACAACTGAAACTAGAATTATAAGTATCCTTAAAATCAAGAACTTAAATCCAAAAGAACTGCACTAAAACACCATGTAACACAAGATTGACACTTGACAATTTAAAGTGCTTATCTCTAGCCACATTTTCCCAGAAATCAATCATTATCTGCAAAAACAAAAAACCAAAAACCAAAAAAGCGCTAATTACCTTCGTTGGTGGGGAAAGAACCACAAGTCACAAAAGAATCTCCAGAGGCAAGGAACATAAGCAAGAAACAAATGTATGATCTCTTTTTTTTCCCCTGTAATATTCTACTCTCTTTTATCACCCGCAAGTACAATTCAACAACCCAAAAATGAAGAAGACGTATAAAGAGTAGAAAAAAAAAAAAACAAAACAAAACAAAAACAACTGAGTGGCTGATGTGGGGTTTGTAAACAGACTGAAACTAAGGTAAAGATCAAAGTTTTGGTACACTAAGCTGAAATAGAAAAATGGGCCCTTCTTGTTTTTCTAGACCCTGTATGTTAGGTTTCCTCCTTTAATTAGTTTCCCCCAGCAGGACAGAATTGATTTCTTCTTTTCTTTAGCTTTTTTTGTTTTTGAGAATGATTTTGAGCATATACAATAAGCATGGTGTTGTACTACATTTCCTTAGAATTTAATATTGGTAAAGCGAACCATTTCAATTTCAAAACTTTTGGGCGCTCATACTAACACCTACTCATGGACTTTTGTCTTTTGATCCAGTGGTCAAGTTGTTGCTACTTTTTTTTTTAAATGCCATTTTTCTAAAATTGTACTTTTCATTTGAAGCTCAAAAAGCCGCCAAAAACTTAGATTATTATTATGCCTAATCTATTTTTTACTGACTTCATACTATGGGAGTCGGTAAGCTGTCTACTTCACCATTCACCATCTAATTGGATTGAGGAGCAAGAGAATTTCAAAGTTTGGTTAAACGCTTTAAGCAAAACCCATCATGATTCGGTGGGTTGGGGGGGTCAATAACAAGAATTGTGGTCAAACTCAAACCTTAGTAAAGATTTTTCCAGTTAAATTCTCCTCAGCTAGAAAAGATTTTCTGTCCAAATAGTTTGGAGCAGATTTCTATAAGAACCAAAAAAAAAGAAGGGCTAAAAACTGGTCCTAATAGACATGGAGCGTAGTCATAAATTTTGTAGTATTTGAATTTGAAAGCGTCTACTTTTGTCGATTCTTCTAGCATTAATGTGGGAGGTCAAGGCTCTCAAACCCTGCAGCCTGTCTGATCTCCTAAATTTTTTCATCCAAATTTGAATCATAGAAGGGAAAAAAGTGACAAAAGCTTAGATTATGGAGCATGGACCACAAAGAAAAAAAATTCCCATTTTTTTCAGCATTTACAACAGAAATTCTCAATTCCCAGCTTGGTTTGATTTGATTTTTGGAGTCATTGGAGGAAGGTTCTTTGTTTCATGTTGATTACAAAACACATTGCATTGATTTGTGTTATTTTGTCGATTCTGATAGGTAACAGACCAATTCACTGTCTTCCAATATTGGCCAATTGCCAGATATGTGTAGGGAACTGACTAATCCAATAACTAAGGCTGAAGCTTGATGGGTAAGAAATTAAAAATTCGGGGATAAGTTTTCATCTTTAACGTGTTCTTTCCCGTATAAAAAACTCTTTAATTCCAATTTGAAAGCATAAATCCTACTTTTCTTTTTGCTGAAATTCACTGCTTATAGAAGCAAAGGTGCTCTAAACAATGCCTGAAAGAGTTACAAATTGTGAAAATGCCTCCTGGATTGGTGCTGAAAACAATCCAAGTTGGAATGAAAATTCAAAATGTTGAAATAGAAAGTTGGGACTGGAGACTTGTAGTTTCCCCTGTTTGTGGACTTGTGGTTCTCACTTTTTTATTTTGATGAACCAATGGTTCTTTTCTAGCTTTTGCCTTTTGCCCAACAATACTCAGAAAAGTTTGGTTATTAACTATGCAAGTGGACCGTTTCCAGCTTTAGAATTGATGGGCGTTAGTCTCACTCTCAGCTTCAATTGAACTTCAGTCGACCCAACAAATTCACCCGAACCAGGTTCATTAATTCTTTGCTTTAAAAATGCTTAAATTAAAGAGTTAGAATTCTTTACAGGTTAACACTCTCCTTATATATAGATAAAGGGATTTGCTGTTCCCTTACCTTTTCCTCATGGATTAAGTCGGAAATTGGTTTTGAAGTATCAAGCAGTAAATTTTTAGCTATCTTTGGTTAATTCCCAAAGACTTTTTCAATAGGAAGTACAATGCCATTTTCTTTCATCTTTTTCTCTTTTGATCATTATTTTATTTGGAGGTGCCAAAAAAAAAAAAAAAACCTATATGTACTCTCCATTTGGCTCATGTATTTCTGAAAATTGGGCATACCACTATTGCTTGTTGAGACTTTTCCAATAACCTTTCTCCCACTCGTTCACTTGAAATATTGAATTGATTTTTCTCCTAACAAATGCTGCAAGAGCTTGAGGTTCATAAGGAGGAGGCAGGGTGCATGGACTTATAATAGAAGGACCTTTCACCAAGGATTCCATCATGAACTTCTTCTTTCGCCCTTCAAGTCCTTCTGCATTACAGGCCATAACCTCTGAGCACAACTCCATAGCTCCTTCTGGTATTCTTGGCTCAAATTTCAACAACTTAGCATACTCATTTAACAAATGATACATATAATCATAAATGTAGTCCATTTTCAGCTGCTCTTGCATGAAGCTACTGGCTGCTTTTCCAATTTCCTGTGCCTGCCAAATCCATGAATATTGTATCGAGTTTTAAGAAAGGCATTGCCAGAATACCAATGATTGGAATTTGTCTACCAGTTCAAGCTTTAAGATCAAACATTTCTTTCAAATTTGAACTATTTTATTCTGATAATTAGATTTTATTTACATCTAGGTTTTGGTTTTTCAGTTATCAAGTTACATTTTTTAAGGTGAAATTAATGCAAACAATCTAAACAATAAAGACTATTGATTGATTTAACATAGAGATGGCTACCTTCTTTTTGTGATCGTTGCCCCAATGCACAGCAAACATAAGGGATCTGCACTTGTCATCATCCCTTATTGGCCAGTAGTGCTCCACAGGCTGCAAGCCTCTCATGAAGAAATCATAGAACTCAGGCTGTACCACGAATGTAACAGAATCACAGGCCAGAATGTATTTCTCGCTAACAGACCATGCATATCCTTCAATGTAAATCTTATACCTGCAAAAATCATGAATTTGGTAATAAAAAATTTAAAATAATGTCGATCTGGCTGCAGAATTATACCTAAATGTGCATTGATCTGCAATGTTCGATTGTTTAAAACCTTGCTGGCCTTCAAGAATCCAATCCTGCAAATTAGGCTTGTTAACATGAGAATTGTTTGAAAAAAAAAAAACAAGCGTTTATGCTGAAAATTACACGAACTTTGTCACATTGGTGAATAATGGTGATCCAAAACTATTGGAGCAGCATGTTCTACCTGGATAAATAGGCGAGCATTCCAGTCTTGTTGATCAGAGACATTGCACTTAAGAAGGTCTTGTCTTTTTTTAGCCACAAACGGGTTTCCCTTCCAGTAGGCGTACGGTTCCCTATCTATCCACTTGGTCTGATTATTTCCATGTTTAATATCTTTCAGTATGCTGTCCCATGGTTTTATATTTATCTCAGCCCTAAAATGAAGAAAAAGCATAGACCTTTTTGTTAATTAAGACAAAATTTTGTCTTCAAAACGGATACCCAACTGTAGACAGTTAATTTCCACATATTCCAAATTGCATGAGTCTTATCATATGCCTAAAAATGGTAAGTCACTTGTCATTGAAACAGGGGACCTATTGATCAATATGCTACCAAAACTGTAAGGCCAGCCTTCAATTTCATTATCCAGAGCAGAATTCCGTATTCTACCATGCATGTAGCAACGAAAATTTCAAACAGAAAGCAAACGAAAACGACAGAGAGGATTGTAAAAGAAGGCATTACCATCCCCAGAACGACCAATCAGGAAACACTATATCCAGCGTCTTTTCATCTCCGCAGTACCGAAACAACGGTGGTGGGCCCGTTGATTTCGGTCCTTGGTAGTCCCCTGATCTGATTACTGGCCTATCTTCAGTGTCAAACATTATTTCCAGGTCCAGTAGCCTTCCAGGGTACTTCCTAAGGAGTTGCAGAATACCCCAGATGGTGAAAACATCTCTCGTCTGAATGGCTTTTCTGTATTTTTTGACGTACGCTTTGCCCCGAATGATTACCAGGCGAAATGTTGCTTTTCTTTTAGCTGTTTCCACCATGTCCCTGGTGATTCCTGAGGTTTTCCAGGGGCGTAAATCTTCGTGGATCCATCTAAAATAATCAGGGCAAACAGGGTTGGATGATGGTTCAAGGTCTTCTGTCTGGAATGTCTTGGGGTAATTTGTTGGACAGGTTTGTGTCTGGTTTTTGTTGCTCGTGCAGTTGAGTGGGATTTCAATTTTCCGTATAGGAATTTTCGGCATTTCTGATATTATTATGGTCTTGTTTGTTAAATTCTCGATAGAAAGCCTAGACTGCAAAAACAAACACGAATTAAAAATTGCACAATCTACCATGAAGATTCTAAAAATTGGGTCCCCCAATCCGGCCAATAGAAAGATGTTAGTATAAGATTTAAGTACTTGTGGGAATTTCATTACGTACAGTGTCAGTCCATGAGGAAGATGTAAAGACAGCCACTAGGAAAACAGTTAAGACGAGAAGAGTTGCAGTTGTTACAGGATTTCTTTCCAATGGAGGGCGCCAGAAATATCTAGCCAGTCCAGATCCGTGCAACATGGATTCTTTACTGAATTGCAGCTTTTAATCAGAATCTTTCCAATTATTCTTGTTTCACCTAACTGCTAAAAAAATAAAAAACTGCAGCTTCAATGCCCCAGTTGATAAAGCTTGCTTCTCTCACCAAGAAATGTTTTTAATACAACATTTTCTTGGTGATGTAAGAAAAAGAGAAAGGCTAGTGAGCAAGCTCCAAGTCAACTTCTTGAGCAAAACTCGGTATTTTCTAGGGGAGGTCTGATTGAGAGATTGACCATTATAATCATCATAATTGGTTGTCAATGGACAATAGCGGACGGCAGAAAGCAATTGGGGGAGTTGGGAACTTGGCAATTTCTGTGTATAAAAATGCAAGCTTCTCCAATGACTTTTGCCTAAGATAAGGACGGCAGAAAATAACTTAAATGCTTACTAAAGTGGATGATTGTACCTTCTGAAGTATTAGAAAAAAGTTGATGATTTTCATTGGTAGAAAGTCACGTCATAGGAATTTAGACGTTTAACTATATCATTTAGAACTTAATTTTAGTACAGGATAGTCACTCAGGAGGCCTCCTCCAATTGTATTTAAGTGGGATTTACAAGTAAAGTGGGCGCATGTCCCAACAACTTTCAGCACATAAAATTAACTGTTCCTCAAACACGATTTGCTACAGCTATTAGTCTTTGCAAATAAGCTAGCCAAGGCATCTTCAAGACATAGTGCAGCCGTAAGTGCTCGTCTTGAGGGACAGAGGAGGCTGAGTTGGCTGAAAAATTAATATGTTGTCAACAATTGGAGGACATAAGGTGGCCCAGCTTTTCCATTGTAAGAAGAGAGGAAAGGAAAAGTCTGCAGAGACAATGCAGTCTGATAAGTCGAGCACGTGCATGTTCTAAATAAAAATTCTTCTACAACTTCTTGATTCAGTGTGAAAACTTCTTGAGCTCAATGTATCAAATTAGTGCATTTGGCCCCCGACAATTTAAGTTTAAAGGCTTCCCAAAAAAATCTTAACATGTCAATTTATCATTACTAAATTAATTAAGTCATAGTTGAAATTAAGGCAATTACTAGAGTTCGGGCTAAATGAAGTAGGTTGATAGGTGAACTGAAAGGGTGGTGAACTGCTGATCTTAATGGTTAAGGGCTGAAGCCCAATTGAAGATTGAAGAAAAATTCAGGTTAACTAGGGTGGGTTGATTGTGGTTTCAGGCATCAGCCATTTCAGTCCAACTAAAGCCACCATACCCCTACTACATGCAATGAACTTCAATTCAAATGGGCCTTTTCTATTTTCTGTGCTCATACCACACTTTGTAATTTGAGCTGACACTGCAAAAGCCAATAGAAAAATATTCTTTTAAAAAAAAAAATGGTTCATCCTAATTTAAAATGCCTCTTTCCACGTCGGAGGTGAACTCATCAGTACCTTTATGTATTAATTAATTCCTTAATTGTCCCTTAAATCCACATCGATCAGCGTAATCCTCACGCTTAAAGTTAATTAAAAGATTAGGAATCCACGTATTCCTAAAACCAGTACAAGAACCTTGAAGTGATTCTAAGGTGGCTAATGCTTTTTTTATTGAAATTGTTAAGATTTAAATTTTAATTATTAAAATTAAAAATTCAATAATACATCAACAAATCACAAAATTGTTACTGGTAAGACATCTTTATCTTGTTTTTCTGAAGATAATTAAGCTTGGAGTTTGGTTTTCAGCATTAACAAATTAAATAACACCATTGAGTAGATGAGGATATGACCAAAGATTGGAACTTGAAACAAAAATATTTCATGTCCCTTTTCTTCGTGACATCAACAAACTCTCATGCATGAACCAATAGAGAATTTATAAAAAGATAGGCTCAAAGGAGTCGATCATTTTGCTGAGTAAATACTCTACTTTGTTTTATGAGCATGCTTTAAATGTGCATTTAATCATCTCTGCAGAAATATATTCCCTTTCGGGCCCTCCACAAGCTGACATGGTTTAACAAACTATACTCTTTCAGGCGGCTTAAGTATAAAAAAAATCAATATTAAAGTTAACTGATCGGAGGAGCTTGAAAATTTTTTTTAATTCTTTTTTCAATTTCCAATTATTTTATGGGACTCCATGACTGTCACATTGCATTGTTTTCGTAATAATTTAAGTTGAAACTCAGTTCCTAGGAGCATATATAACCTATGGCCGGCCTTTCTCATCTTCAAATTACTTCAACTTTATAATCAATTTCCTTTAAAATGTATCAATGGCTAAGGTTCATCCTCAAGCAACTGTTTCCGATCCCTGCATTATGAGCTCTGCAGGAAGACAAATATTCACTATATGGATGAAATCTCTTGTCTGCCACACCAATGGCTGCACTGTCTTTGATTCAAAAGGGGAGATTGTTTATCGTGTCGAAAACTATGACAGCAAGGGCAGCTGTGAAGTTCATCTCATGGACCTGCGCGGCAAAGTTCTCTTTACCATTCTAAAAAAGGTACTCTAGATGCAACTAAAGCTTAAGATTTATATTTTTTATGTGCCTGATTATTTGGAAAGACTCTTAACTGGATTGGGTGCTTTTCACCTTCAATTGTTTTTGCAGAAACTACAAATTTTTGGGTGTTGGAATGGATATAGAGGGAACTTAGCTTGCACAAGAAAGGAAAACCCTTGCTTTCAAGTCCAGAGATGCTGCAGTTTTCTCCGGAGAGATTTAGCTTGCCAAGTTACTGTGGGCTTTAACAAGTATTGGATAGTTTGCTTAGGTCGCAAGAAACAAGGATTTAAGATGGTAAACATAGCTGGAGACATTGTAGCAGAGGTAAACACCGGGAAATAAATTTCCGTAATAAGTAATTACATGAAAAAATAACCATCAGTCGTGTGTCCGTTGATAAAATGCTAGACCCTTAATTTTAGTAAGCGAAGTTCAATTTTTGATAATCTCAAATTAAAAAAAAAAAAAGAAAAAGTAAGTAATCCAAATCACTAACAAGCTTTCTTCTCAATGGTAAATACTACAGGTGAAGCAGAAGCAATTATCTTCAGGAATGGTGTTAGGAGATGATGTATTAAATTTGGAGGTAGAACCCTATTTTGATCATTCCCTAATCGTTGCTCTTGTTACCGTTTATGGATTGATCAATAGGAGATTGTAGATAATATAATTTCAAGCATAAATTACGAGAAAGCAACAGAGCAAGTGAAGCTAGCATATATGCAAGTATGCAGTATAGCCAATTCTTCCAGCTATTGAAGTGTGGATATATAGTCTCATTATTATTATTTTGGTTTCAGATTTTTTCTATATGTTTTAGGATTGGTATTTCCTTTTGATGGAAAAACCAATACTGGGTTTGTTATTGTCATTGGCAGGGGCAAGGAATAGATATACAATAAGTTTCGATACAAAATATCAAGAAGAAATTACTATTATTTCACATTCCATTGAGGATAGTAATTTTGTATATAAATATATATAGAACACCCTATAATGGATATATATATATATATATATATATATGAAGGATTCAAAAACTCGATAACTTAAATTTTTTGGTTCATGTAATATTTAATATGTATATATGAATTTTTTGATATGCTCTTATAAATTTCAAATGTGATTTATCTCCCAATAAATGATATCCAAATCAAATGTTCGACTTAAACGTGTCAAGTATGGATATGATAATATGTGAAAGTGGAACACTCAGTAAGTATACAATGGATGCGAAGAATATATGGTAATATATGAAAGTGAAACACTAAAAAATGTGATATACTGAGTCAATATGCGATTGAGTGCAAGCTTAAAAGATATTAAGATAATTTAGGCGAGATTGAATGCTGAGCCTAAAGTGCACTGAAACCATCTCAAGCGCACTGGTGATGCAAAGTTATCTGGTCTAAAGGATGTGTTGATAGATTTATTCACATAAAGAGTTGATAAGAATTCATAAATGAACGAAAAAGATCATTGAGATGATTCACATGTAAGTAAATAATTCTCTCACAATCACTAAGAAATGAGATTGAAATTTTTAAATATGGAGGACCCAATAACTCAATACCTTAAGTTTTTAGACTCAAATAATGTGTAACATGTAAGTATGAATTATTTTTATGTGTTCTCAGAGACTCCAAATGTAACTTACATAATCAATTTATATCAATATAAAATTAAAAAATTATATTTTTTTAATTATTGATTTAAATAAATCAAAAGATGAGATTAAATTATTTTTTCTCTTTTTAATTTATCTTTCTCATTCTTGAATTTTTTAAAATCCATGATTAAAAAAAAGTTATAAAATTTTTTAATTTTATACAGATATAAATAAAATATATATATATATATATAAAGAGAAGGGATTAACTTATACAAAAAAAAATTTACATCTGTTTTTAATCATTAATTTTAATAGATTTAAAAGATAAAATTAAAATTTTTTTGACATATCTCTCTCATCTCTTAAATTTGTTGAAATCAATAATTAAAAAAAATATTTTTTTATGTATGCTGATCTTTTATATATTCAAGGAGTTTGAACTATTTTAATTATCAATTACACGAATAAGTGAAAAAAGAAAAGAAACTCAATTCCCATGTGTAGATCTAGAGTGTAGTGTAGTGCTACTAGCTCACCAACCTTGAACCTTGGTAGAAATTCTTCTGGCAGTGCCAAAAAGCATATGCAATCACATGTTGAAGGCCCCACCTCGTTTCTTTCTTTCACACTCCACACTTTAATTGGAATTCCTATGCGTTATTATAACAACCAATGTGAACAATATATGTTTAATATATTTTTTTCAATATTATCTATTTTATAATTTATATTACTATTATTTACAAACAAAATTTAGCGGATCTCAAGATTATTCAAAATTTAACGGTCTGACGTGGATAAGGATTTGTTAATTGGGGATTAGGGTAAGATTTAAAATTTGAATGTAAAATATTTATATTTGAATTTTATAATCTTTTATTAATAAATATTTTGAAATTTTTTAAAAAATTTATAAATTTTTTTTATGAGTTGATAATTTATTCTGATCTTAAAAATAAGATAATCGTTCCTACTTTTAAATTAAAAAAAAAAAAAAGGATTTTCTACTTTGTTAGCTGACGGACTTTTACTGATTATTAAAGCCAAATAATTATATCTATAAATTTTGGTCCATTGTACTATCATTATAAGTAAAATTTGTCAAAGAAGAAGAAAGGGTTTTCCATTGTATTTGTCATTGCTGCAAACAGCGCCCACGTAATGCTCAATCCTTCGATGCTAAAGAAAAAGAAAATCTCTCTTGGGGTTGAAGGAAAAGTATAGTTTTGAATAGTGAATTAATTCTTTTACATGATAGAACCCAAATTTAACTTTTTTTTTTTATTTACAAGAAACTAGTTTTATTATCAAAAGAAGCAGTAACACTGCTACATCACCACTATTATAGCCAATTAATCAGAGATGAGAGAAATCAAACATTAATAATTTTTTTATTTGGAGTTGTCAGAATTTAAATTTTTATTACTAAAATTAAGAATTAACTGTTCTATCAAATCATGCAATTGCTAGTTTTATTGTGAACAGATGCATACTATAAACGTGATAACTTTATCAAACCTGTAGAAGAATTGAATTATTTCAGTGCACTTTTTCTCATTCTTCGGGCTTCACATTCATGCACTTTTCGTACGATATGATCAAACACATTGACTAAAGTATCTTAAATCTTTTAAAAAGCACTAGCGCTTTTTTGACATGGGAAAAAAAAAATTGATTTCTCAAATGATCAAGGTTCATCCTCTTGCAGCCGCTACTGCTGCTGATGCTTCTTTTTCTTCTTCTAATTATGTCACTTCAAGGAGAGAAACATTCACAATATGGATGAAATCCCTGGTGATGCAAGGAAATGGATGCACTGTTTATAATGAAAATGGTGAGATTGTTTATCGAATTGATAATTATGATAAAAAATGCAGCAATGAAGTTTATCTCATGGATCTTCAAGGCAAAGTTCTCTTCACTATACAAAGAAAGGTATTTGAAACTTATGATCAAATATTGGAGCTCAAATATGCAAAAATGAAGTTGATTTTCTTCCTTTCTAAGTACTTTACAATTCCTTTTGCAGAATCAATGGTTTTTCAGAAGATGGGTGGGCGATAGATGCAATGATTTTGATCTGAATACTGAGAAGCTGCATTTTCAAGTGAGAAAAAGCTTGAGAAATATTCTTAAAAGAGATTTATCCTGTCAAGTCATCATCATCGGTTGTGATAATATTGGCCAAGCAAGCTGCTATAGAATAAAAAGCTTGCCTGGTAAATCAGCTTTTAAAATAACAGAAGAAAATGGAAAACTAGCAGCAGAGGTGAGTCTTTTTGGCCTAGACTTAGCTTTACTGAAACTCTTCTTTTAAAAAAAAATTGTCATATCATGATTGTGATTTTTTGTGCAGGCAAAGAGGAAACTGTCATCTTCAGGAGTTCTGTTAGGAGAAGATGTATTAACCTTGGAAGTTGAATCAAATGTAGATCATTGTCTTATCATGGCTTTGATCACTGTTTATGGACTAATTCATCATAGATTGTGAATAAGTTTTTGAAAATTCTTATTTCCAGAACCATTAGGAGGGAGCTTTCAGCAGCACTCTTCTCTACGACTCAACCAATTGTAAAAACCTTTTCTGCCTGCTTGAATTGACTTCTATTCCCAAGTCTTCAGTAATATACAGTGAAAAAGCCTTTCTGGGATTTGTCTTCTGAAGACAAAACGACGGAAAAACATAAAATGAACTGTAGTTGTATACAGAGAAAAAACCTCCATACTGATGTATTAACCTTGGAAGTTGAATCAAATGTAGATCATTGTCTTATCATGGCTTTGATCACTGTTTATGGACTAATTCATCATAGATTGTGAATAAGTTTTTGAAAATTCTTATTTCCAGAACCATTAGGAGGGAGCTTTCAGCAGCACTCTTCTCTACGACTCTACCCAATGTAAAAACCTTTCCTGCCTGCTTGAATTGACTTCAATTCCCAAGTCTTCAGTTATATACAGTGAAAATGCCTTTCTGGGATTTGTCTTCGGAAGACAAAACGACAGAAAAACATAAAATGAACTGTAGTTGTATACAGAGAAAAAACCTCCATACTGATGTATTAACCTTGGAAGTTGAATCAAATGTAGATCATTGTCTTATCATGGCTTTGATCACTGTTTATGGACTAATTCATCATAGATTGTGAATAAGTTTTTGAAAATTCTTATTTCCAGAACCATTAGGAGGGAGCTTTCAGCAGCACTCTTCTCTACGACTCAACCAATTGTAAAAACCTTTTCTGCCTGCTTGAATTGACTTCAATTCCCAAGTCTTCAGTAATATACAGTGAAAAAGCCTTTCTGGGATTTGTCTTCTGAAGACAAAACGACAGAAAAACATAAAATGAACTGTAGTTGTATACAGAGAAAAAACCTCCATACTGATGTATTAACCTTGGAAGTTGAATCAAATGTAGATCATTGTCTTATCATGGCTTTGATCACTGTTTATGGACTAATTCATCATAGATTGTGAATAAGTTTTTGAAAATTCTTATTTCCAGAAACCATTAGGAGGGAACTTTCAGCAGCACTCTTCTCTACGACTCTAACCCAATGTAAAAACCTTTCCTGCCTGCTTGAATTGACTTCAATTCCCAAGTCTTCAGTTATATACAGTGAAAATGCCTTTCTGGGATTTGTCTTCGGAAGACAAAACGACAGAAAAACATAAAATGAACTGTAGTTATATACAGAGAAAAAACCTCCATAGTTGTCCCAGAGGCAATGGTTGTAACTTAGAACTTGTACAATAGAACAGAGTCAGAATTTGTTGAAGTTATTATTGCAGTTGCTGTTGTTTTTGGCATTTAAATTTTTAAAACGGTTTTAACTATGGCATGAAATAGATCGAATCAATTAAATTAAACTTGCTGTTCTCCTTCTTACAGGCAGGATTTGAAATTATCTTATCAAAATACAGTACATAGTACATGCGATATATATTCCCAATTCTGATTTTTCAACAATTGAAATCTAGAAGTCTGAAATTGTTGCTGTCCTGGCTGGGACGAGCCCACATTTTTGTACAAGTTTTGGTTTTGTTTGATCTGCGAATTTCCCTGCTTGGACAAGCCGAGACCCAAACAGTCAACAACCTACCAAACTGAAATAAAACCAAACTCAGATCCACAATGATTTACCCATTGTTAGAAAAACTTGTGATTTGCAAAAGATAGGTGCCCACCAATCCGATAATGATCACCGACCACCAAGATGTTACTCGTGAAACTCAAATTCTCACGAATCCAAAAAACCAATATCTATCCAATAACGTGTAAGATGTTCTTTCAGACATGACAACCGACATCGGTGCAGAACAATTTGTAAGACAAAGGCAACAAATCAGGCTCTGACAGACTTCTTTACAGATTTTAAGGACAAGTCCTGGTTAATGAAAGACAAATACAATTGAACAGAGACAAGAAAATCTCAAATTCAGCCAACAAAGAGTAACAGGAGCTAGTTTGTATAATTTTCTCAAAAAAATGAAATAATAATATTTATGAAAATGTCACCATGACAACAAAGAAGACATTATGGGAAGAACAAGAATTAAACATTAATTAATAAGGAAAAAAAAAAAAAAACTTACATACATTTGGAAACTACGAGGCGAGGTGAATTGGTATTAAATTTTTGTACAACTTGATTTATTTTAACTCTAAAAAGGAACCATCACACGTACAATTTCCGCGTCGGCACACCCAGTACTAGTTCAACTATACATGAAGAATTTCAATATTTTTAGCTGTTCCTGGCATTCTTCAAGTTGCGCACAGTCATCACAAGTTGTTGTCGTTCACCTTCGACCTCTGCAAATTTGAGGCTTATCTTGGAATATCGCTCTTGCATATCCTTCAATTCGTTTTCCATAGTTTTGTTTGTTTCCTTCAATGATGCTAGTTCAGCTATCAATTCATCCTGGTTACCGTCTTTATCGACAATATAGGCTTTCTGTTCTTTCACTGACAAATTGTCATCACTGCTGTAGATAAGAAATCAACAAAATTAATTATTAGTTACTTACCCTTTTCTTTGGTTCCTTCAACAATCTTCTTAGTATTTATTCCCCTCAGCTAACTATTACTAGGAAGAAACATAGCACGGGTAGAAAAAAGCCATTTGACAAAAGGCACACTATCACTTTTTCCTAAAGCAAAAGGATATTTCTTCAAGTTTTACCTTTTCAAAAAAGGAACAGTATTTCCACTCTCTTTAGATATGCATGCTTTCTCATCTGATATAAAGCCATTTGATGTAACCTCCTTAGCATCTTTAAATACCTGCATTTTTTTATCCATTTTAAATCAAAAAAGTAAGTCAAAGCAAGATATACAGTAGTAGTAATTGTTATCGTTCTTGTTGTTGTTTGTAATAAAGGATGCTGTTGACAATGAAATAAAATGTAACTTCAAATAAAACTAGTCTGTTTTAGGTATAAAAACAATCCATTGAACCTTTCTAGCAATAATCAAACAACGGTTAGGGTCAAAGAGTGTAGTCATAAATTAATATTATAGCAAGATCATTAGTTCTTGATGCCATGAAGAATGTTGAAACTTGAAACCTCTTAATGCATAACTTAAGTAATGAAAGTTCATTACTATTACAGAATTTGCCTTAAAATGAATTTTGTTTTTCTTTTAATCATGGTGTAATGTTTCTCACCTTTTGAAGTTGGTACTCGCAGAAACTGGTGCTGTGCTCATGGAGTTCTTCTACTCTGCGTTCTAACTCATCAATTTTCTTCTGAAGATCCCTTTCCTTTTCCCAAAAGACATTTGTGGATGTTTCTAAAGCAGTTTCCTTTAACTTTATTTGCCCCTGCCATGAGAAAAAATTAAAAAAAAAAAAAAAGAAATCATTATGAAGTAAGGAAGAAACAAACTGAAAAGGAAAAATTGATCTCAGTAAGGACAGAGGAATATTATGATATAAATTGCCGCTTGATAATGAATCTCCATATTTCTGTTACCGGAAAAGCAGATGTTGTAAACCATTTGCATCAAACAGAATCAAAGAATCTACTTGATTTTATATAGAACTTATATGTGTAAATTTACCTCAAGCAACTTTATTTTCTCCCTCAGGCTTACAACCTCTTTAGGAATGCGAGGAACCGTGGCAGATTTATTGTTTCTAAATGGTGTTCTTGTTCCGTCAGAAACAGCTGCTCTTACGTTGCTCTCTCTCAGCTTCTTTTCCATGCCAGTAAATGCATCTTCCTTCTTCTTAAGGTCACCCTTCAATAGAACCACCTGCTTTATGAGTTTTTCTTTCTCTACTTCATCCTCAAACAGTGAATGTTTCAAGTTATTGCACTGAGTTTTTAGGATATCCAGCTCTGATTGTAAGGATTCAACTGCAGCTTCTTTCTCGTCCTTCAGATGCCTCACTCTTTGCAATTCCTCCAGAGACTTGGCTGCTTCCTTTTTCATCGAAGCAATTGTATTCACCAGCTCATTTCTTTCTAAATTTCCTCTTTGTATCTGCACTTCAGTTTCTTTGGCACATGCTTTTGTGCGTTCCAACTCAAGTCTCAAGCTTTCCACCTGCTCGGCTTGTTCATGGAGGCATTTCTTTTCTGTAGTCAGCTCATCAATCTGAGCTTTTAGGCTGCAGATCTCCTTGGAAAAAGCCCCACTAACTTCTTCCTCATGCTTCTTTTGATGTTCAAGCTGCTTAGATTTATCAACCATTTCCTCCAACATCTGTTCTATCTGATTTGATTTTAAATTTACTTGATTGGAAAGGTTGCAGAGTTTCGCCTCATAATCCCCTCTAAAAGATTGGAGCTCTTCCTTAGCTTTCTTGAGCAGTTCTTCCAGCTGATTTTTCTGCAAGCGTAGTTCACTAGCTTCAGCCAGAGCTTTTGTAGCCATCTTCTCATTTGCATCAAATGTAGAGGCCATCTGCAAGGACAGCCTTTTAAATTCCTCCTGTAGCCTTTCAGCTGTATTTGCATTCTTCCATCTTGTCATTCGCAAGGCTTCCTCAGCTCGGATAGCTCTTTGCTCCTGCTCAACTTTACTTCGTGTGATGGATTCTAGATCGTTTTCAAATAGTTCTGCCTGTTTCTCTAACTCTTCCTCCAAGCTCTTGATGTGAGTTTCTAGTTCATTTATGGTGGCTAAAGAGTCAGAGAATTCTATTGACCGCTTGTTGAGTTCGCTTTCCAAGCACTCAAATTGGGTCTCAAGTTCATTTATATTAGCAAAAGATGATGGGCACTCGTACTGAATCTTCAGTTGTTCTTGCAGCTGGCTTTGCTCTAATTTGTATGAGATGTCGTGATTTTCCTGCTTCAGTATCTCATAGTCAAGTGCCAGCTGCTCCATTTGTGCTTCAAGCTCATCTTTATCTCTCCTATAGTTCTCTATCTCACTGTAGAGGTCCGTGATCTTTTGTTCCAGGAGAGTGGTATCCTTGGTGTCTCTGTGTTCTTTAACTAGCTGTTCCAATGCCCTCTGCTCTTCATCCTCATCTGTGTCAATTCTTGAGATGGTTCCCCTCAACTCGTCAGAATTGTCATGAAATCCTGATTTTTTGGTAGGATTGGATATCTCCCTATTCTTCGCATCCAACATTTCTTCTAGGTCTTGTATAGCAAGGATTAACTCACCATTTGATTCCTGTGTCTTCTGCAGTTGTAACCGAAGATTGGAATTCAGGTCCTTCTCATAATTCAGCTCTTGTCTGATTTCTTCAACAAGAACCCAGGGTTCCCCATTCTCAAACTGCAACCTGCTTTTTACTTTTGCATCGTCCATTTGCTCCTGAAAGGCCTTCAGTTTCTCACACTCAAATTTGAGTGCATCTCTCTCTTCTTTCAAAGTAACAACTTCACGTGAGAGATCCTGCGCCTTTTTCCTCTCCTTTACAATTTGCTTTCTGAGAGCCTGCAATTCCAAATCTGACACATCCACTTGCCTGGACAAAACAATGAGTTCATTCTTGAGCTTTTCAATCTCATTATCAGAAGAATGTTGAGAGTTTTCTCGTGGAAAGGTGTCCTGGGAACTGTTAGAGTCATCAGTACTCATTCCATGATCAGAACCCACCGACCACTCCTCATAGATCATTGTTGAGGCAATTGTTGTTGGTTTAGGAGTAGCTGAGGTGTTATTCATAGATGACAGATAAGCAGGAGGGTCCTGATTGTTGTTGTCATTCCTCATTCCAAGTTCTCGTGGAATATTAAGTCCAGAGCTACTGTCAGAACTTGAAATGGTAATATCAGACCCATTAGATCCTCTATGGTTTCCACGTAATTCAACATTGTGGGTTGTTTTGTCGAAAGGCACATCCTGTCAGAAAGATAATAAACTAATAAATAAGTAAAACATGCAAATCCATTTTAATTAACTTTTATACTACGCACATATTAAAAGACAAAAAGTTAGACGAGATGAAATTGTCTGAATAACCAAAGTAATAAGAAACCCCAAAATGAATGATTTCACTAGATGCTATAGGAACCTCACTTCAATGGGGTCGTTCTTAATGCTTTCATCTGCATCACCATTGCTCAAGTGGGCCTTCAAGGTCCTATCTTGCGATTTAATACTTGCATCTTCAATTTTTTCCACCTCTCTGCAAAAACCATCAAACCAAGTCAAGCTCACGAACAAACACTCCAGATTCCAAAACAACCTCCAACAACTAGAAGAATTTAATAAAAATAAAAAAGTCTTTACCTTTGATCAGCATTTTCCTGCAGCCTCTGTATTGAGACCTGTTCAAAACCAACAGCTTGAGTTCGATTTTAAACATCAATCAACATTATCACGAGGAAAGATTCAAGAAAAAGGCTATCAGAAGTAATCCATGATACATATAAATACAAGATAGAAACAGAGAGACTGAGAATGTGTGACTGGGTATACTAACATGCAAAATTGCTTTAGAGTTTGAATTCTTTAATGGAAGAGAAACGGTGGAAGTTTTAATTGCTTCAGCATAAGCAGCAAAATCAATTGAAGCTTCCCCAACCAAACCTCCTTTTCCCAATCCCTATAACAAACATATAAAATATTACTTATATCACAATAACAAGAAAAACCAACGCACCAAAAATATGAACTAATTAAAAAGGTAAAATCTTACCGTTGATAAAAGAAAATGGTAGATTCTTTCATTGATCTTCCCAGTTTTTGGCTCCCTAACAAATTTAACGGTCTCGTAAACTGGATTTTCCCATCGACAGTTACCGTCATGAATCATCGCCTTTTCTGATTTTGTTGTCGGTTTTCCTCCATCGCCGGGAACCAATGATATCATCAATGCTTGCACATTTAACTGTGTCACCTAAATTGAATAAAAAGAAATTAATTGTTCAACATTTCTCCAATTACTCAATCACATTACAAAAAAATGAAGTAATTATTAATAATTAAAAACTTTTGGAAAAAAAATTATCATTTTAACCAAGCAAAATTAGCTCAAGCAGCTTCACAAGAAAATCAAATCAAACTACTTTTTTTTTCTGTTTGAGCTGCATTCCTGAGCAATGAAGCTAATAAAGAAAGATAAGCAAATAAAATCAATGTGAATTTTTGAAAAATAAAGAAGAATTTGAAAGAATGAGAGTACTTGAGTTGCATGGAACTGCAACTTGAAGACAGCTTTGATCCTGTTCTTGTCGCTCCTCCATCTCGCCGACTTAAACATCTCCTCCGCAAAACCCGCCGGAAATCCCGGACTATGACGGGAGCTCCGGCAACCCTCGCCGTGAACCTGCCATTTATTCGATCGCTAGATCCAATGCCTGAAATTTAATCAAAATGCGAAGACATGTGGGAAAACAAATCCTGTTGCACCAGTCTACAAGTAGAGTTCAGCTGAACAGAAGCGAGGTGGATCAATGAGACTGGAACTGAGTCAGAGACCGAGTCACGAACTCAAGCGTTGAAACATGAAAGAGATCAGATCCAAATAAGAGCTCTCTCTCTCTCTCTCTCTCTCTCTCTATCTCTTTCTTCTCTTTTATTTCTCCTTCTCCCCTCTGCTTTCTATTTGTAAGTCATAACAGTATCCGGTGGAAAGAGATCGCAGTTGCACATTTTTTTTTTTTTTGTTTTTAAAAAGGAAATTGGAAAAAAATAATTCAAAAAAAATTGAAGGAGAAGCTTCTACGTGATTAATTAATTTAATTAAATCTTAATTAAAATACTCATGTAGTAGGTGAAAACATGTGTTCGTCTGTTTCGAGCCGAGGGAACAGTAAGGTAAAGGTCATTAATATGACATAAATGTCCTTCGTCAGGTAATCTTTGGCGAATATTCTAACTTCAGGTCGAGGGTCAAATGGGTAGAAAACGTATTTTTTAAAATTACAAATTTTAAAAATTAAAATTAAACTTTTCATGTAAGGAAAAATAAAAAATATTAATTGTTGAGGACGTATAGCCCAAAAAAAAAGTTGGAATACGGTTAAAAAAACAAAAAATACGGAAACTGAATAACTGATCGATGAAAATAAAGTAGCATAGGTGAAATCCAGGAAAATGACAAGAATTTTTTTTTATGGATATTCTGTTGTAAGTACCAAATTTATCAATTTTTTTTTTTACATTCATAAATCTCCAAATTCAATGGCCAAATACCATTAATTATTGAAATATTATAGAAAAAAAAAGATAAATCATGAAATATAATGTCGGTTTGAGTTTGAAATGGAATTTTGAATTCAATAGTTTGAAGTATTGGACATTAGGTTGTGTCATTTTCAATTTGCTGGATTTTTTTTGGGTTCTAAGGCTCCATAAAGGAGCTTCACTTTGACAGAGTATTTTTTATGAATTTATTTGTGCATAAAATTTTTTAATTTTATAAGTATGATAAAGAAATTTTCATTTTTTTATTTTTTAAAATATTTTATCTTAAAAATGGATGTGATAATTTTTATTTTTTTTTACAAAATATGCTACAATTTAAATATAAAAAAATTACGGGTGTTGAATGGCAATTATAAATTTATTACATATTATTTTGTAACAGTAATTACATGAAATGATTGGATTGTACTTTAGATTTTTTTTTTTTGTGTTCCATGTTTCCCTTTTTAACCAATAATTTAATTATTTTTCAAAAATAAAGACCTCGGCCCTTAGTCCCCACTATCATTCCATAATATGCATATATATATATATATATAGCAAAAATATATTTCAACATCCTATTCTTTGAAGTCCATATGAAGAAATGCTGAAATCAATGCAAAACATATGCAGTTCAAAAATATTTAATTTTGTATGGTCCATTGTTTTTTGCATTGAAATTACTTATATGGGATCACACAAAAGGTTTAGGTATTATATTTTCATCAAGATTTGTTGGCATTAATGCCATTATTGTAAATTTTGACACTTAATATTTGGTGTGGCCATAAGGCTTTGGAGTCTGGGGATATAATAGGAAATTTACGAAGGCCAGACAGGTATTTCTTGCGCCCTTGGTGCCTGCCGACGGACGACTTCGAATCCAAAGATAAAGAGAAGCAAACGCAAACGGTCATCTCCGACTAATTAATTAATAGTATTATTTAATTATTTTTCTAAATTGTATACTAATCACTAGAAAATGACATTTCAACCAAAAAAAATTCTGCTTTGGCCTCATATTAAATTTCTACCAATTTATGTAAGCTTAAATTAATGTCTTTTGTAGCACACATCAATCCACCACTTTTCTTTTTTAATAAATATTTTTTAAAATACAAAAAAAATCTTATAATGAAATTTTTTTACTTGAAATATCATAATTTGAATTTTAATCATTAAAAATAAAATTTTAATATTTTTTCAATAAATTATATAATTTTTTATATAATATAATTTTTTATCATTTTCATTAAGTGGAATCCTTAGAATACATACATATAAGGCAATTAATAATTATTATCCATTGTTTGTATTACCATAATCTTTCAATAATACTAAAACAAAGAGAAAACCTACTTGGATTAAAAGAACTAATTAAAATAATTAGCATAATCTGATGTAGGTTTTAACTATCCAAAGCACCTAACTCTATCAAACATTATGTGGAATTTATTTTAATGACAATTATTATGATGTTCAGTCAGATTTTTGTTAGTTTTGGAATCAAATTGAATTATTTAGAATCTTTTTAATTGATTTGGAAAGGAATTACAGTCTTTGATATCTTAATATTACAACATGGGCCATGATATTGTCTTCTTTTAACAAACCAAAAAGAAGTGTGTTCAAAACAGAACAGACTTCTCACTGAGCACATTAGTAAACATAGGGTTATGAAAATTTACTAAGTCTAGGTTTGGATTCCGTCATATCTCCTATGAAATATGATTAAATTTATTACATCATTAATTGAATTTAAATATTTATTATAATAAAATCCGTTCAACATAAATTTTTTATTAATTTTTTTTTAATTATAATTACACTAACTTTTATTACTATTTTCAATTCATTGGAGTCAATCTTATCAGTCACGGGCATTTTATCAAAACAGAACACAATTTCTAAATATGGTATGCTGGAAATTCATTTAGTCATTTTTTCAAACAATGAGTAAACAATGTCCTTAGAGCATACAAACAAAAGTTTCTAATGCCCGGGAAAGAGTCCCTGCAACACTCAACACAATAGTCACAAAGTGTTTTCCCATTTTCACACTACATTCACAACACAATGCCACGAAAAAGATAAGCTTACGGCTGAGACGAGTGAGACAAACACAAATATAAGAAACACAGGAAAGAAGACAAGCTTCCTTTACTCAGGGAAGCAATGCTTTTGCATTTATATTCTGCCTCGATGTTTGTGCAAAAGCCGTATCTTCCATAATTTGGGATTATAAGAATCAGCATCCATTTCTCATGACTTGGAAGATTGTAGGACTGGCTGATGCTGTTGAGTCACGTATCAATGTGAAAAGTAAATAATCGGAAGAGGTTTGGACGTGCACTAAGATAAGCCTTTCGTCAGCGTCGGAAGATTTGTTTATTTACATATCCGTATAATAAAAAATATTAAAATTTATATATTTATATTATATTTTATATAAAAATTAAATATAATATTTTAGGTCGACACAAACATATAAAATATATTTTTTTATTTTATTTTTATTGTATTTAAAAAAATGATTGAGGCGTTAATTACAGCAGAGAAACATTAAATCAATTATTTGCCGATCAAACAATTTTAACAGATGTTTTAATTTTACTGGACAACTCAAGTAAGTAGGAACTTCAGCTAGCTAACTTTATCTAAGTTTTCTCCTAATCACCAAACCTCTCTCTAACCTCACTTACCTCTAAGCCTCGCACTGCCGCTGGCTGTTTATTTTGTATGAAATAACAAAATATTATTATAAATAAAAAAGTTGATACTATTATATTAATCCCACTTGCACAAGTTTTTTGCTACACCATTGACTAAATTCCCATCCTCTCTAACACTTTAGCTATTGATTTCTTTCTCTTTTTATTTTCCTTGAATAATTTTATATATCCATGGAGATGGCCTGAAAGAGAGACAGCCAACGACATGACCTTCCATGGCAGGAAACTAATGTTATTATTAAATTAAATACACACACATATTCTAAAGAAATCGGTTTCTTTGATTTGTTCATAGCAATAATCTTCTTCTAATGCGAGCCTTCAACTCAAAAAAAAAAAAAAAGAGAAAAAGGGAAAAGCGTTAGGTAGAGAATTAATTACATGTATGGTGTAAGGTGGTACGTGGAGAGAAGCTTGGTTGCTTTGCATATATGTTTTCTTTTCTTGTACTTGGCTTTAAAGCTGCAGGGTCATGTCATGTGTTGGGCATGAGATATGGAAGGCAAAGCTCCTTCGATAAAGAGTCCACATTTGAATAAAAAAGCATGCGTGTTCAAGATAGCCAGTCGCACCAGACTCTGCCCGGCCACCGGATTCCTCTGTCTACAAATACATAGAAACATTTTTAATGTTACAATCGGCATTAGGTAATATGGCTGATGTCTTTGTACGGTTACACAAGTTCACTACAACTACCAACCTAACTGCTTGCCCCCTCTTCATACTGTGGCCCCTGTGCTTCACATCAGCTTGGGGATGCCACTTCCCTGTTCTGCTTCTCTTTGCTCCATTGCTATATATTGATGTTCTTTGGTGAAAATTGTGACTAAAAATTTATTGTCTGTGTATTTTATAATAAAATAAAGAAAAGGGTTGTTTGAAATTGAGATTTAGAAGATAAAAGATCCAATTAATTAATGTAAGAAACTTGCCCTGTTTCTTATTTTTTGCCTCGGTGCAACCCACTGAACACCAGGACACATGCTAGGACCACGTGAGTTCTGTGCTTGAACAGTCAAAATCAAGTGTTAATGAGTGATTCGATTAGTGGGCAATTGGATAAGTTGCAGTTGAAGCTCTCAGGCTAGCCACAAACAATAATTTCTAGGGTCCATGCCCTTCGGTGCAAAGGTCCACTGTATTTTTTTTTTTTAACAAAAGCTGCGATAACTCGAGAATCCACAAAAATGTACGTGTGTTACGATTTAAATTTAAATATGTTAGATATTATTTTTTAATAATAATTATATAAATTAATTAAATTAAATCATAAATACATGATTTTTTGCATTATGATCCAATTCCCTTGTATTGCAATGAACAAAATATAGGATCTATACATGCACCTTGGTGGTTCTTGTTTATGACATTCAACCTTGCTTTATTACAACTTATACAATAATGTCATTGATCTAGCAATTAGTTTTGGATCCATGCAACATTTCGTTTTTAAGTGGTATATACCCTACATTCTCTAACTTTTGTACCAAATATAAAAGCAATACCACATGCAAATGATCTTGCATTTAATTTTTATCTTCACATAAATGATCGTGCATGTGCAAATTCAACATCAACGGTACAGGATGCTGAACCTTATTAATTTTCAATTTTCATGGCATTGTCTCCAAATCTTTGTTTTAGTAGCTAAAAACGTTTAAAGAGACAATAATAATTATAATATTTTATTATTATTAATTTTATTATAATTAATTTCATCATTTATTTAAATAAAACTTTATTTGT